ATCTTTAAAGGCTAGTCTTTACTTATTTTATGTTTGTATCACAAAGCCATTGTTGAGGCAAGTCTTACCCATTATATAGCTTCTCTAAAAGTTATCAAATAGTAAAAATGTAAATAAACCAACAACTTTTTCTTAAATATATGAGCCCCGAAGTCGTTGATTTATTTATAAAATTGACATGCTAGTGTAAGAAAGAATTGTTGACTTATTTACGACTTAACAAAATTTGTTTATGCAAGAGATAAATTGGGGTTTCCACAAATTTAAATGCATTTGTTGGTTGGTGAAAAGGTATGTACAAATAAAAAAAAAATGTAGAGGAAGTACATACATTACAAGATATGCTTGCTTTAAATTTACTCTAACCCCTAAATCGTTATAAGGTGTTGGTGGCGGCATCATTGCTTCGTTGTTAGTTGGGTTTTGGTGCTATTGGCAACATGGACAAAAGAAGCTTCAGAAACTAAGGGAGACATGCTTTCTCCAAAATGGTGGTCACATTTTACAACAAAAACTATCAGAGCGAGATGTATCAGTTGGCACCATTGTTAAAGTGTTCTGCCACCGTTGAAATCATGTGTCTCACCAAGTAAAGGGTAATTCTCTCTCTGCTTGGAGTAGCACTCTGTTGTTCGACGACCATGGATGAGTAGTCATACCTCTGATCCCTTCTAGCTCTCTTGCAACCTCCTTCATTGTTGGGCGATCCTCTCCTTTAAGTTTCAAGCACCTCCTTGCAAGATTAGCAACTTCCTTAAGCTGCTTTATTGCACCATCACTTACTATTTTTTCATCAAGGATCTAAAACAAACGATCTTCCTTAAGTTGCCGATGTATTGGCTTATTTGCATACTACAATTTCTATACCAATAATTCACAGAGATATGAAGTCTGCAAACATACTCTTGGATGATAATTACACAGCAAAAGTCGCTGATTTTGGAGCTTCTAAGCTAACCCCGGTAGATCAAGAGCAGTTAGGAACAATGGTTCAAGGAACATGTAGTTTTCTTGATCCAGAGTACATGCAAACTGGTGAGCTAACTGATAAGAGCGATGTTTATAGTTTTGGTGTTGTTCTTGTCAAGCTACTAACTAGAGAGAAGGTCATTTGTTACGCTAAGTTGGAGAGTGAGAGATGCCTTGCTATACATTTTCTTAGGAAGCTTAGGGAAGATCGTTTGTTTTAGATCCTTGATGAAAAAATAGTAAGTTATGGTGCAATAAAGCAGCTTAAGGAAGTTGCTAATCTTGCAAGGAGGTGCTTAAAACTTAAAGGAGAGGATCGCCCAACAATGAAGGAGGTTGCAAGAGAGCTAGAAGGGATCAGAGGTATGACTACTCATCCATGGTCGTTGAACAACAGAGTGCTACTCCAAGAAGAGAGTGAATATTTACTTGGTGCGGTACATGATTTCAACGGTGGCTATGTGAATGACAATATGAACTACTCCTCGAGCAGCCAAAGTAGAGTTGTGCAGTTGGTGCCTTTGAATGATGGGAGATGATAACATACCTAAGGATTGCGATTTCATGTTCGAAAAAGTTTGAGCTAAATCTGTATATTTGTAACATATTAAATTATCAGTAAAAGACGCATTGATATCTCTCTATCTTTTGCCATGTCCTAAATTTGTAATATTCCATTGCAGCAATGGTGATTCTCAGCATCCCAAACTGGAACTTCCTGGTACTGATTACATGCCCCTGAATCGATAGTTATTTTATTTAATTTTTATAAAATGCAGTTTTCAAAACTCTATCAAAAGGCAAAGAGCTCTAGATATCTTCTAAGATCAAGATATTGTATATATCTTCTCCCAATGTTACTCATTATAGAGCTTTAAACTTATAGTCGAAGTTTTCAGGATAGTGCTAGAAAGGCCCTTAAGCCTTATGGGGAGGAAAATGGATCTGCAAAAGCTCAGTCATCACCAATAATATCAAAGTACATGGAAAAAAATTAGGCCATGTTTCTTGCTTAACTAGCTATGTATTGTTTGAATGGTGTTTACAACTTACAAGCTCTTCTTTTGTGCTTATATAGTCTCTCGTTTTTTATTTTTTTTATATTTTTTTTTTATTTTTTTTTTCTTTTTTGTACAACATAAAGCAATCTGAAATGGATTGTCTGGAGCTTAAACGAGCTAGATCAAAAGTTAACATTTATATGAAAGAAGTATCGATGGAGAATAAAAAAAAAAATAAAAAATAATAAAATGATAAAAAAAAGCCAAGAAAATTATGATTTTTGAAAATGTGTGTCTTAACTTCTAAGTTATGAAATATCATATAAGTGTAGGCATGAAGTTCAATGAAGTTGTAGCATGAAGTTCAATGAAGTTGTCTAACTGTAGGTTAGATATATACAGTGGCTAAAGCCATGATTTTTTATTATTTTTTTTATAATTGTAGGGCACCATTCCATCCTGAAATCCTTTTATCAAGCCCCAAAAATCTATCTCCTTAAACTTTTCAATTAAGAAGGAAAAAAAACAAAAAAATCAAGACACAACTACGTACTGCAAATGTTCTTAATATCAAGATTCAAATTTAATTTATGTAGTACTCCAGGCCAAAATCTATCAATAATGCTATCCCGGCCTATTCAAGGTTTAAAACAATAATCCATATTTAAAAAGCTTCTTCTTATGAGTTCGGAATTACTTATTCGTATCAAATAGTATATATCGATATGATCCAAAATATCAATTATAACTAATAATTCGAGTTTGCATATGTTAAAGAAATATTAAATAAGTTACAATCAAACAAGGGAAAACAACAAATATTGCATGTTAGGCAATAAGGCAAGAGAATTGAACTCAATGCACTAACCACTAAGCTACAAGTAATCGTGCTAACATTTGTGCACTTTATGTTTATTTAACTAAAAAAACACAAATTTAAAGTTTTTTTTTTAATTTTTTTTTATTATTATGGTAGAAATCGTGCCCTACCAGGTCCTTAATTGGCTCCACCAATGGTTAGATATATCATCTCTTCAGTTTAACCAATAAATAAAAATAATAAAAAATAAATAAAAATCTACGTGACTACGTCAATGCGAGGTCTTCGGCGGTCTTTCGAAAGGAATAGTACAATAAGTGAATAGTGCATTTCTTGTTATTTTCTGTTAGTGTATTGTAGTGTTTAGCACAACTCAATATTTAAAAGACAATGAATGATGAATCAAAGTCAACGTCAACCTTTCTATATCGTACGAGCTTGAATACTGCTATATTGTCTTTTACTTGAACAAACATAAGTGGGATCTACATGAACATATATTTCATCTGTTTATTAAATTTCTCAGCTCATATTACAGAGTACTTGTAATACCTATGTTTAGTTCTAGATGAATATTGTAAGCTGGATGAGAAATTGAGAATTGTGATTAATTATAACATGTTGAAGGTGAAAATATATATATATATATATATATATATATATATATATATATATATATAAAATAAAAATAAAAAATAAAAAAAAACCATATATTTCATCTGTTTATTAAGTTTTACACTCATTTTCATACAATATTTTTTTTTTAATTTTTACTCTTAATTTTTTAATTTTTAGTAACCTATTTTATATAAATATTAATTTTCTTTTCTTTCATGGTCCCTATTCAAACTCACTAATACTTATATTATTAATAACTTTTGTCCATTTTACATTCCTTACTTTAGTATAAAATGGTAATCCCGCTGTAGTTTCATACATTCTCTATGCTATAATAAGTGTTTCACTTTTTAAATGCAGCCTTGTTTCAATAAGTGTTACACCTTTTTTATTTCTTTTTTTGCAAAAAACTATATTTTAATATTATATCAGTCTACTTTGATGGTTCCCACCAAACCCCCTATTACTGTTTTTATTAATTCTTTCCTCATACATTCATCACTTTTCAATAAAATATAAACTGTAACCCAATATCTTTCTTTTACAAGTTTTTTAATACACCAACTACACCACTTATCTCTTATTTTATTCAAGTCAATTAAATTGTCTAAAATTATGTGCTAGTTAAAGTGTAATACTTATTAAAATACGGAAGGAGTATTATGTTAGTATCAGCCTTCTCTTTAGTCCTGAGGAGAGGTAATGCATGTTAGAAATTTATAGTGTGGTAGAAGAGAGCCCTCTCCTTTATGTGGAGAGGCCGCGGGTGGGAAGCCACGGAAAGCCGCGCCCGTTGCCTTATAAGCGGCGCCTGCGGCATGATGGTCGCGCCCGCGGCATGGGCGCGGCCAGGCATCTCCAGAAAGTTGGGTGAAATATGCAATTTCCCTGTTCGCGCCCGTGGGGTTGTGAGGAGCGCCCGCTCCTAAAAGTAGGAGCGCCCGCTCCTCTGGTGGAGCCCCCACTCCTCCTGGTGGAACGCCCGCTCCTCCTGGCAGTTGCGGTTTCGTTTATTCTTTTAATTGCCAAATTAAAAGAAAAACGAGAGTCTGGTTTTTGCTCTCTCTGTTTTTCCTCTCCAAGTATTCTTCTTCTTCACATTTTTCTCTAAGAAACTTACAATCTCTTATAAAACTCTATCAATTAAGTTAAATCTTTGAGAATTTGATCATCTTACTACAAATCTTAGTGCAAAGATTGTAGTGTTGTCTATTGTATCTCAAAGTGAATTTTCAGTTTCAACCTAAGCACCGTGGTGGGGGAAATAATCACTTTGGGAAAGTGTTTACACGCCTTAGACAAGTATCCGGTATTGAAGGTTTACGTGGTCCTTGGTATTCTCATGGTTCTTGGTGATTTCTTTGGCTTGGAGTAGAGGCAAGTTTAGTATCTTTCATATTAGTGTTTTTCCTTGTAATTTCTGATTACATTGATATATTGGTGTTTGGTTTGTAATACTTTGATTAGTATTGTTTGTTGTATAATTAGATTGATATTATACACTATTTTAGGTTTTGTTCCACCATCATTAAGTAATTCCTATTGTGTAGAATTACTGAAAACCTAACAATTTAAAGTGATTAGTTAGAATCATGTCTAGTGTGAAAGAACTAACCACTAATTTTGTCAAACTTAAGAAGTTTGATGGAGTGGAATTTCGACGTTGGAAGAAGAAGATGTATTTTCTTCTTACTTCGTTGAAGGTTGCCTATGTCATTAGTACTCCTAGGCCAGTAGAACATGAGAATGAAACCATGGAAGATATTCGTGAGAAATCAAAATGGGATAATGATGACTTTATTTGTCGGGGTCATATTCTCAATGGGATGGAGGATGATTTGTTTGATGTGTATCAACATGTTGAGTCTGCTAAGGAATTATGGGAGTCTTTGGAGAGCAAATATATGGCGGAGGATGCTTCTAGCAAGAAGTTCCTTGTAAGTAATTTTAATAATTTCAAATTTATTGATAGTAGGTCCATCATGGATCAATTTCATGAGATACAACGTATTTATGGTAATTTGAAACAACATGGAATTAGTGTTGATGAACTATTTGTTGTTTCAAGTATCATTGATAAGCTACCTAATAGTTGGAAAGATGTTAAACATGAATTAAAACACAAAAAGTAGGACATATCATTGTCTGATTTGGCTACCCATCTTCAAGTTGATAAAGGGATTAAGGCCATGGAAAACGCTAAGGATGGGAATCCTAGCACTTCCACCATTAATGTGGTGGAAGAAGGTAAATCTAGTGCTTTAACTAGTGGAAATAGAAAGAATGTTAATTCTTCCAAAGGAAAGTCCAAGAAGAAGAAGGACAACAACAAGTTTGCTTGTTGGGAATGCGGTAAAACTGGACACCGCAAGAAGGACTGCTACATTTTCAAGAAGAAAATGGAGTAATCCAAGGAGGGCCATGCTTCTAGTAGCAAGGACCCAACTGTCAAAGGTAATCCCTTACATGAGGTTGAATTTAATTCTGGTATGGATTTAAATGCAACGGATCCTAACATTTTTATGGTACAGGATGATGACTCATGGTGGATGGATTCGGGGGCTTCAAGGCATGTATGCAAGGTGAAACATTGGTTCAAAACCTTTCACAAGGTTGTTGATGGTGAAGAGCTCTATATGGGGAACAACTCTTCCATCATGGTCCAAGGAAGAGAACAAGTTGAGCTAATGTTCAGTTCGGGCAATGGTATCATTCTTAAGGATGTACTATATGCTCCGGATATCTCTAGAAATCTTGTATCAGGCCCTACCCTGAATCAATTTGGATATAAACTAGTGTTTGAAGTAGATAGATGTATTATTACTAGAGGTAGCACTTTCATTGGACGTTGTTATTTAACTCATGGATTGTTTAAACTCTCATTAAGAGAGAAGTTTGTAATGATGGATGATGTTTATTTTAATGTTGATAATGACAATGGTGTGAATTTGTTTTATTTATGGCATTCTAGATTAGGTCATGTCAATTTCAATAAGTTGAATTTCATGTCTAAACTAGAGTTAATTCCACCTTGTGATATTTCCTCTAATAAATGTTCTACTTGTATGTTGAACAAGATCACTAGAACTCCTTTTAAGAGAGTTGAGAGAAGTTCTAATATTTTAGAACTGATCCATAGTGACTTGTGTGTTTTCATAGTACTCCTTCTTTGGGGAACAAAAGATACATGATTACTTTTATAGATGATTTTTCTAGGTTTTGTTATGTGTATCTTTTGCATTCCAAAGATGAAGCTTTGACAAAGTTTGATATTTATAAAAGAGAAGTAGAACTACAAGTAGAATCATTTATTAAGAAGATTAGAACTAATAAGGGAGGGGAATATTATGATCCTGCTTATTTCCAATCATTGGGTATAATTTATGAGACTACAGCTGGTTATGCACCACAATCAAATGGTGTAGCTGAAAGGAAAAACAGAACTCTTGAAGAAATGGTTAATTCCATGTTATCTTACTCTGGTTTGAGTGAAGGGTTCTGGGGTGAAGCAATGTTGACTGCTTGTCACATTCTTAACCGGGTTCCCACTAAGGAAAAAGAATTTACTCCTTATGAACTTTGGTACAAAAGAAAGCCAAACTTGAAGTATCTCAAGGTTTGGGGTTGTAGGATCGTAAGAGTGCCTGGGAACAAGAAAAGAAAGCTCGGTGAAAGGGGCTTAGATTGCATATTTATAGGTTATGCTGAGCATAGAAAAACCTATAGGTTCTATGTAATAGAACAAAATGACTATATATCGATTCATTCGGTTATTGAGTCAAGAGATGCAATTTTTGATAAAAACCGTTTTTCATCAATGAGTAGACCTAAGGATCTACAGGTTAGTGCCAAAGGGAAGGAGATTGTTGATTTTGATGATCAACTTGAATCTCATGAATGTTCTCCTAATAATGAGGATGAGGTTCCTCATGTTAGAAGAAGTAAGAGACAAAGGAAACCTAGGAACCCTCTTGATGACTTTATAATTTATTTAGTTGAAGGGTCTAGGGATGTCCTTAGTTCCACTACTCCATATTGTTTCAATGAGGATAGTGACCCAAAGACTTATAGCGAGGCCATATCTTCCCAAGATAGTGCATTTAGGAAGGAAGCTATAAATGATAAGATGGATTCCATCATGGGAAATAATGCTTGGGTCATAGAGGATTTACCTCTCGGTTGCAAACCTCTTGGTTGCAAGTGGATTTTCACTAGGAAAAGGAGGTCGGATGACTCCATAGTGAAATTTAAAGCCAGATTGGTTATCCAAGGCTTTAAGCAAAAGCATGGTGTTGATTATTTCGATACCTATGCACCGGTTGCAAGAATTACCTCCATAAGGTTATTGATTGCAATGGTTTCTGTATATAATCTAGTGATTCATCAAATGGATGTCAAAACGGCATTCCTTTATGGAGATCTAGAGGAAGAGGTGTACATGAAACAACCCGAAGGGTTTGTTTTGGAAGGACGGGAAAATAAGGTGTGTAAATTGGTTAAGTCATTGTATGGACTTAAACAAGCACCTAAGTAGTGGCATCGGAAATTTGATGACACAATATTGTCCTTTGGATTCAAAGTGAATCAAGCTGATAAGTGTATATATAGCAAATTTGATGACAAAGGTCATGGTGTCATCATTTGTCTATATGTTGATGATATGCTTATCTTTGGTACAAGTCTACAACAAGTAGAATTGACCTTAACCTCATCTTTTCAGATGAAGGATTTGGAGGAGGCGGATGTCATTTTGGGCATCAAGATAATTAGGGACAATGGAAGACTTATTCTAAGTCAATCTCATTACATTGAGAAGATGATCAAACGGTTTAATATGTTTGATAAGTGTCCCGTGAACACCCCCATGGAACCTAATGTTAAATTAGTTAAGAATTCGGGGAAAACAATTTCCCAATTGGAATATTCAAGGATAATTGGATCCTTGATGTATGCCATGACAAGTACAAGACCTGATATTGCATTGGCTGTGGGAAAACTTAGTAGATTTACTAGTAACCCGGGTGCACAACATTGGTTTGCAATTCGGAGGGTCTTGAGGTACCTTAAGGGTACGTTGGATTATGGTTTGTCTTATAGTGGATTTCCTTCGGTTTTCGAAGGATATTCTGATGCAAGCTGGATCACTTACAAAGAGGATGACTCTTCTGCAAGTGGTTGGGTATTCATGTTTGAGGGAGGTGCCATTTCATGGTTTTCTAGGAAACAAACTTGCATTGCCGATTCCACTATGGCAACAGAGTTTATTGCTCTTGCCTCAGCTAGTAAGGAAGCTGAGTGGTTGAGAAATCTGATGTTAGAGTTGCCTTTATTGCCTAAGCCAATGTCACCGGCGGCAATCCATTGTGATTCGAATTCGGCTTTAATAAATACAAATAGTCAAGTGTATAATGGTAAGTCTTGGCATATTTCACTTAGGCATAGCCTAGTGAAAGAGCTTATAAATGATGGGGTCATAAGTCTTGACTATGTTCCTACAAAATTGAACTTGGCAGATTGCTTTAGTAAAGCAATGCCAAGGCATTCCATCAATTTTGCTTTGAATGGAATGGGTTTATGTCCAAAAACACAAATTTGTGAAACCCAATCTAACACTTGAAGAAACATCAAGTCTTAGATTCAATGTGGTTGATTCGCATTTTTGATGTTTGTTAGCAATGTTATGTGACCCATATTGCTATATTACTTGTGATGTGTTAGGTAGCGTCTATTCAAAGTTCTCAAAGATCTAGAGTTGAGAAGATTTAAATGAAGGTGTATTGTCACAAGGGCAATATTACGTATATGAGAACCTACCTATATAAGTTCGAAGTTTAGCCACTTCAAGAAGTCTAGATGGACATATAGACATTGATGAACTTATGAAAGATACGGACACATGGCTATTTAAAAGTGTCAAGTGATGATAAATTCAATTTGTCTTGTGTGTACTTCACCTTCGAATGGTTGGATATATTCGTGTGATTCAATCCATATGGAAATCACGGAATATGATCATCGTTAAGTGTGTTGTACTAGGTGTCAATTCAATCCGAAGGGACATTGGCATTGATGCATGAGATGTGGCTTAATTGTTAGAAGTAGAGAAAGTTTTAAATGACACACTCTAAATGGGGGAGGATTGTTAGAAATTTAGAGTGTGGTAGAAGAGAGCCCTCTCCTTTATGTGGAGAGGCAGTGGCTGGGAAGCCACGGAAAGCCGCGCCCGCGGCCTTATGAGCTGCGCCCGCGGCATGGGCGCGGCCAGGCATCTCTAGAAAGTTGGGTGAAATCTGCGATTTCCCTTTCCGCGCTCGTGGGTTGAATTGCCGCGCCTGCTCCTCCTGGTGGAACGCCCGCTCCTCCTGGAAGTTGCGGTTTCGTTTATTCTTTTAGTTGCGAAATTAAAAGAAAAACGAGAGTCTTGTTTTTGCTCTCTCTGTTTTTCCTCTCCAAGTATTCTTCTTCTTCACATTTTTCTCTAAGAAACTTGCAATCTCTTATAAAAAACTCTATCAATTAAGTTAAATCTTTGAGAATTTGATCATCTTACTACAAATCTTAGTGCAAAGATTGTAGTGTTGTCTATTGTATCTCAAAGTGAATTTCCAGTTTCAACCTAAGCACCGTGGTGGGGGAAATAATCACTTTAGGAAAGTGTTTACACGCCTTAGACAAGTATTTGGTATTGAAGACTTACGTGGTCCTTGGTATTCTCATGGTTCTTGGTGATTTATTTGGCTTGGAGTAGAGGCAAGTTTAGTATCTTTCATGTTAGTGTTTTTCCTTGTAATTTCTGATTACATTGATGTATGGGTGTTTGGTTTGTAATACTTTGATTAGTATTGTTTGTTGTATAATTAGATTGAGATTATACACTATTTTAGGTTTTGTTCCATCATCATTAAGTAATTCCTATTGTGTAGAATTAGTGAAAACCTAACAATGCATAACGATGAACGAAAAATAATCATAACATAATTCCTAAATTTTTAGGAAAATGATAATTTGGCACATTTTTATTATTATTTTCATATTTACTCTTTCTATTCTACTATAGCGAGCTAGCTAGAGAGGCTTGCATAGGCCTGGAAAACTAGCATGAACTTAATCACCCACCCTAAAATAAGAGCCT